ACCTCGCACTGTGAAACAGTTCCAACAGTGGCGGGCCAAATTCGAAAACAACGTGCAGTTGAGTGCCGAGTTGCTGCAAGACAGGCTGGTCGAGGAATCGTGCCCTCAGCAAATTATAGGCGTTAGGATAAGGGTTACCCTCGGTAAGATAGACCCTCGTGTAGGGTCCCTTTGCACTGTCTCCCGGATACTACCCAGGAGTACGTATAGCGGTTCACCAGGGTGTGAGTTTTTAATAGAGCAGAAAACAAACATTAACAAGAACCACGACCCAAAACCGACCCCGTGGACCTTCATATCAATATCTATTTGCGCCAACCTCCGGGCAGGTCTCTGCAGTCAAGGCTCCGCATGATTGCCCTCACAACGGAGGACGTCAGCAAGGAGTTCTACCGGACAGTCCAGGCTCAGAAACAGGGGCAGGACTCCGGACATCGTACAGATCTTAAGTGTTGTGTGTCCTTTACAGGCAAACCGCGTAGGATGCACTCTGACCCTACTGCTAGGAGAAGCAACTGGCATGGGTGGCTGGACGCTTTGAGGGCTCTGGCTACAAAGTCCTGCTGTCCACCCTCCGCAAGATACACAGTCCAGCATTCTTGAGCAAGTTGGGGATCACACTCTGGCAGGCGCCAGATCCAGCGTCGTGCCGTCAGCTGTCGTGGATCCAGGAGGAGTCGGCGCTTCTGGCCGACACGTGGAAGGTGTTGCTCGAGCTGGCCTGTGCTAGGCCATATGGTTCCAAGTTGAAAGTAATAGTCGTATCCCGTGCAGCTTTGATACACGTTTTTCTGTTCTGCGCACGCAGGACCTGGTCACAAGCCATGTATTGGTGCTGCCCACCATTTTTGCTGGGCTCCTCCTTCGCATCCACGGCGGCCGAACGGGAGGGCCTGGAGCTGCTTCGTCAACTAGATGCAGGGCTCAAGGCGGCGCATGGCCTGCTGCAGCATGGCGCTGCTGATGGCGACAGCAGAGGTCCTGCAATCCGCGACCTCCTGGAGGACTGCTTTTGGCCTAGCTGCCAACTCTCCCTCGAGCTGGTCCAAGCAGCGCGAGACGCAAGTTTCCAGCCAAACAACGCCCAAGTACTGGAGCTGGCGTTTGCGTGCTTCGGAGCACCGAGCAACACAAAGCATGCTTGTGAGGATCCGTTTGCACATCTTCATCACATCGCGTCCCGCGCTCAAAAAGGACTTCTCCGCATGGGAAAGTGCCGTGGCAGCATCAAGCAACATAACACGGGTTGTCTTTGAAGTCGGCTTCTAGCCTGCGCAATCCAAATGAAGTAGCAGCAAGCAAAGGGCCCGCCGTCCTTGTCTCTGTAGGTGGACGAGATGGTTTTATTTGAGCACCTGCCAATCCACACGATCCAATGGATATTCACATCTGCAGTGCAGCCGCGAGGACTACACTCTGGTCAAGCGAGACAGGGCAGACATTCACGGCACTTATTGGACAGCTTCGGAAACTGTCCCACGGGAGCTGGAACTCAACACCATGGACGAGGTTCCGCCGCAAGTGCAGAGCAGTAGTCCACTCCGTGCTTGCCCCGTAAGCCGTTTAGGATTCTGGGATGAGGGGCCACACTTGGCTGTGAAAGAGGTCAGAACAAACGCTCCCGCAGGGGAGGTTTTCTTGTCTGGTTGTTTTCGTTTGGGGAAACATGTTTACAATTATTCGCAGCTTAGCACAAATTTTGATGAAAGTGTATTGTGGGAACAAAGAATGTATCAAGGCTGAAGTGGGTAAGCAAATTGCTTGGGTAAGCAGATTGCCAATCTGAAAAAATATTAGGTGCCGTAGACTAGTTTCCTCCTTTTTGGACGTTGCTGCTGTTCTGGCTGTTGCTGCCTCGCTTGCTGCTTGAGCTGTGTTGTCTCGTTTTGCACTCGGCGCGAGCACCGCAGCGGGTTTGGAAGACAAAGCTTTCACTGATACATCCCGTTGATGTGATTGGAAAGGTCAACGTGAAGTGGGTGAAGTCTGGAACATTGGCTGATATGCGCATGGCTGCAGCGACCATGACGCTGGCCGAGCTTCACACCAGCGACTTCCGCAACCTGGAAGCGACCTGGGCGGGCCCCTGCGATTGCAAAGGTCTATTTTCTCTTCCAAGTTTAAATGATGAGTGCTCACAGGAAATCTGAAACGCTAGCACGGCGGTTCGTGTAACAGCTCGTTAGCAAAGGCTAGAGACTGCTAGACATGTGCTGTGGACTCATTGCTGCCAAGGGATGTTCTTTGTCCCTGGCATGATTGTGCTCAATTCGACGGAGGACGGTGCAGTTCTCTCGCTGGGATTTCGCAAGTGGGCAGCGCAGACGATTCCATTGGAGATTGAGAAGGATGCCCAAGGCCGTCTTCTCTTCATACTGCCAAGGGTACAGGATCAGCGGCCCACTCAGCGCCCGCGTTGGATGTGGAACACATGTGCATCAGCTGAGGACACGAACTTCAAAGCTTGCACTGTGGAACTGCTGCATCCAGCAGCCGTGCCAGCTCGACTGAAAGAGCATTCATGTGTGCTCGAGGCCGTCAGCCCTGTGGAGCCATTGCTGAAGGCTGCTCTGCGGAGCGGACGTTGCTTCCTGGATGTGCCTGCCTTGAAGAAGTTGTGCGTAGCAAACGGAGCTGCCGATCCTACGCCCACTGGCAAAGTCGGAAAAAAAGGCAAGCGCAGCATTATGAAGATAGACAGGGCGCAGGTGCTCCTTGCGAAGATTTTCCCAGAGATTCCGGCCGGAAGCGAGGAGCATTCTAAGATTCTCCAAGGCATCATGGGCGATCGGAGTCAGCCTATGACAGAGGCCTGCGCTGCAGACGTGCTTGCAGGCGTGAAGCTTCTGGACAGAGACAACGGTGAAAAGTTCGCAGGTCTCGCAGCCGTTGCGCAGAAGATCGAAACAGATTTCAAGATCAAGGAGGCCCTGAATCCAGGGCGGGGAGCAAGTGAAGGGCCCAACCAGCCGCGTCGCAATTTCACCCCGCGCTCATTGATGCCTGGCGTTTTTAAGTCAGATGTGTTCAGTAGACGAGATAATTGGAGAGGTCGCCCTGACGGTTTCTGGCTTAGGGTAGTTTAGGTGCCTCATCCCAGGAACGATTTGCTTCCAGGACGCGGGTCTCTCAAAGATTGCTACATGCAGCGGAACCCGGTGGCTCGAACGTACCAGGCTTACTACCCGCGTGCCTCGACGAAACTGTGTAGTTCAGGCATACATGTTTTTGGGAACACTTAAGTCACGTATTTTGTTTCAATCCATTCGTGTTTCTAACCTCCAACTCGTACGTGCCAAAGACACGGGTGCGTTTAACCTATCTAAGTTGCCCGCGATGCTGGATTGGGCTCTGGCAGCCGCTGTACCACCTGGGGGGGGGCTCGCAGAAACCTGAGCGAGGAACAAGCCCTGGCGGAAGTGGTAGAGAAGATCTGGCATCTTCACTTCCTGTACGGCAAACACCTTCAAGCTGGCGAGGAGCAGTGCCTCAATCCAATCTAGTGTGCCACAGTCTATGTGTTCAGACATCGTCGCATCCTAGTCAGTCCTATAGTCCTAATCCTGAACCACAAGTCCTTAAACCTTAAAGCTATACTCCCTGCATCTTAAACCGCAGCAATGAGGCCCTCAATGCCCCTTGAATAGGTGGTCGTGTACATTGACTTGTCCGAGCGAACTCTGACACACTGGGCTTATCATAGGTTTGTCCGAAGCCCTGAAGCTAATGCCTTTTTCTATGTCAGCTCTAACTAATGTGTTTTGTTAAGATTTTAGGGTAGACTCTCGAGACCAGAATTCAAGCCCAAAACCCTTAAAGCCCCCAGGCCGACAAGCAGAGAGATCCACGACCTGGTGGAGCGATTGCAAGCAGAACGGGAGCAGGCAGATGCGGCAGAAGCAACGGAGGCTTCTGAGGCTTCTGGTGCAAAAGGAGGGCGGGGCAGAGGAAGGGCTTCAGATGCCAAAGGCAGAAGGAAGGGCGCAGGTGGTGCTGTGGATGTTCGCCCCAAAGCTGTGCCGGATGCAGATGCCAAAGGCAAGAGAAAGGGTGCCGGCGCAGGTGGTGCTGTGGATGGAGCCGCAAAGCGGCGCAGGGTGACGTGACTGAGCCGGATGCAGATGCCAAAGGCAAGCGAAAGGTTTCCGGTGCAGGTGGTGCTGTGGAGAGCCGCAAAGCGGCGCAGGGTGACGTGACTGGCTCCAGGGCTTGTCGCAAAAAAGACGCATCGGTACGGCGCACCCTGAGCCCGTACCCCCGGTTTAGGGTTTAGGGTTCAGGGTTCAGGGTTTAGGGTTTAGGGTTTAGGGTTTAAGGTTTAGGGTTTAGGTTTTAGGGTTTAAGGCCTAAACCCTAAACAAGGCTCGGGATTACACCAGGATAAGCAATGGATAGGCAATGGTTAGGCAGAGGGTCAAAATCATGCTTCAACTTGTTAGTGTTGGATTACCTTAGGATTAAGCAACCCACCCCCCCCCCACCCACCCCCCAACTTCTTCATGATCCAACTCTTTCGCCTTCTCCAGCACCAACAACACATACATCGTGAACCCGGTCGTCCCTCTCGATGGCGATGCTGTCGGGGTTGCTCTTGAAAAGGATGAGGAGGAAGCTGCCGTCTTTCTCCTGGTTGTACTGCTTATGACCTTCTTGTATTCCGCGGAAGCGCTCGTTGCGGAGGAGGTCATCGTCCGTAGGCCCGTCGATGACCACTGTACCATTCTCACCAAGTTGCTGCCGGATGAGCTCGGTAACGGCTTCGTCGCACTGGGGGCTCCTTCCTCGGAGGTGTAGTCGAAGTTCACGTGGCGTCCCTCCATTGATGATGTGGTGCGCGGTCTCCTTTCCTTCTGGTGACCGGTAGGTTTCCCAAGTCATCGGCTCGAACACGTCCTTTGACAGGGCAACCGCTTCCTCCGTGGCCTCGGTGCCGCCGATCTCGAAGACGACAATGGGCTGGTAGTCGACCTGCGGATAGACATGCTCGTTGAGGTAGTTCCCGGCAGCGCAAATGAAGCTGGCCATCATCACGCTGATCCGCGCGGCATTGTTGAACAAAGCCTTCCTAGTACTCCTCCGAGGGCGCTGCTTGTCTGCGGTCTCGAACCGGGCCTTCTTGTCGGACTTGGGCAAGGGGAAGCCACAGTTCTTGAGGTAGCCCCTCAGGCCTCCGGAAGCCTTCGGGTAGTTCCGAGTCGAGTGGAAGGTGAGCATCCATCTGTCACCGACCCATGGCTCGGTCGCGTGCTTGAGGAAGGGGTCGAAGTCGTAGAACTTGCCGTTGGTGTCGTGGAGTCTTCCCGGCAACCAATGGCCGGTGCCGGCCCGTCTCCATTTAACATCGCTGCCGATCTCCTTTTCCTGGACAGATCGGTCCTCCAACCAAAGCTCACCGCCAGACTGCTGTCCAAGGGACATCGTGTAGTTGCGGCTCCCTCTGAGGTTGTGGAAGTCGTGGTGGACCTGGGTGCTCGCATTCCGACCAAGGGTCACCGATGTCCATGTAGCATCCTTCCCAAGACGTCTCCTGGCGAACTCGTTCAGGTAGCGGACCATAGACCCATTCTGCTTTGTACCAGTGGTGACGCCGAAAGTTCCGCCATGCGAGTACAGTCCAAGAGTCCGGTACTGAACTCGAGCGCCCTGCTCGCCAAACACCTCGTCTCTTGCTGTCTTGACCTTCGGGAAGTCCATGCCATCGAGGAGCTTCAAGAGGGTGTCGTTGGAGTAGTCACAGTCCGCGATGGCCTGAGTGAAGAGGTCGTCGTCTGGTTGTTGACGGGGCCCGTTAGCGTAGTTCCGGAAATGCTCGCCTTTTCCGCTCAGTAGCTGCTGCTCGGTGATGAAGACGTCGTGCTCGATGGTGTAGTCGTCCCTCGAGCAACAGCCTTTGAGGTAGTCGGTGGTCTTATCTCCAAAATGGCTGCCACCTGTGTCGCGCTGATTCTCCCGTTCAGGTAGTAGAGCACTGGGAAGACCTTGAGGCCGATCGGGGGAAAGCCCTTGTAGGCGTGGATGAGGTTGTTGTTCTCGCGGTCGGCCATCAAGAGTGCTCTGACTCGTCCCGCCGTAGTCGTAACTACCACCAGGAGCGGGACTCCCTGGTGGCGGCCCCTCAGCGCTGTTCACTTGTTGGGCATCGGCGGAGAAGCCTTTGCCTTGTCCTTCAAAACGGCCAGTCGTGCCTCCAGCTGCTGGATCTCCTCGAGCGTGTGGGGATCCATCTCGGCCTCCATCGCCTCGTTGTTCGTGCTGCCGGAGGACGTGCACTTGTTGATCTTCGGCGGAATCGGGTACCCCTCGCGGTCCGGATTGTAGGTCAACTTCCAGTCGCGGTCGCCCCTCCAATCGTGGAGCCCCGGCGATGGACTCTTCGCCTTCGGTGGGACCGGTCGAGCGTCTCTCTCGGGACTGTAGCCGACCTTGGATTCGCTCCACTTGGAACTCTGGGCATCGCTCGTCGCCGCAGACTCGTCCTCGGGGCGGTAGGGAACGGTCGCATTCTCTTCGAAGGTGATGCTGGCGCCATAGTGCGTCTCGTGCTCCTTGTTCTCCCACCATCGCGCAAACCTCACGAGCTCCGGGTGCGGATTCGGGCTCATTCGGGTCTCTCGGGCGGCCCACATCCCGTACTGCCGCGGGATCTCGCCATACTCCCACCCGGTATAGCGCCCGATCTTCATCAACTCCGTGGCCGGCGTCGTCACGTGATCTCGGACCAAGCGCAAGAGGTTGCCCTTGGTGACCTTGTCCGGGTACAGCACCCCGAGCTCGTCCGCTTTCATCTTCAGCTCTGGAAGGTTGAGGCTCGTGATGGACTTCATGCGGTATCCAGGGCTCGTTGCTGCGCTCGCCATGCGGTGCTCTTGGATCACCGCCTTGATCTCTTCCACTGACCAGCTGCGGTGCACGACCAACCCGACCCGCGTACACTCCTCCAGAAGCTGTACCTTCGTCATCTTCGAGATGGCCGGGGGTTTGCATGGCGTGTCCATGTCCTGGTGGAAGATCAGAGAAGGGAGGCTGTGGCGAGCTACACGGTCGCTTAGCAAAGGTGCTTCTGCCAATCCACAACAACTCGAAGCTCTGATCACCACCATGGGGGTTCCATCTGTCAACGTTGGTTTCAAGAGGCTTTCCACTCTTACAGCAAAACCCTTCTGTGACGCGCAGCTCGCTAATGGATTCCAAAAGCATGTCCTTCTGCACAGTAGACTGAGTCTTCCATGTATGGGGATTGCAAAGGGCTCTTCGGGGCGTAACATGAATCCTATGCCATGCAGACTCGCTCTCCAACCAGAAGTCGGTAGTGATCTTCGTACCTTCCCACCAAGACAAGAACGACGTAGCCTGTAGTTGATCTTGAGTAAGAAGCTCACGCACTGCGGGGTTTAGCTTTTTGTCGTAGAAGATCCTAAACTTGCCACCCCAATGAGGTTTGTGCTCACCTTCACCTTGTTGACCATGAGCCGTAGAAGTAGTAGATGTGGTGGAGGGCCCATTGAACCTTGTGTCGTAGCCGGAAACCTCGGGGCCCGTAGGAGTAGACGAAGTGGTCTTGGTGTTGTCGTAGCGGTTGGAACATGAGCTCCTAGGACAAGCCACTGCAAACGTCATGTATGCACGAGCGGTCGACACTGCTGAGTCAGAAATGACAAGCTTGGCGCCGTCGCTCTCTGAGCTGGGCGGTGCTATCGGGATAGCTGGGTGACCTGAAGAGGTAGTCACCAAGTCGAAGTCGGCCAACCCGACCTTGTTGAAGCTGGCCCGATTCGCCGCGACATCGTACACCATTCCTAGTTGAGCGAGAGCACCCTTGGAGAGCAGCAGCGGTATGTCACCGTTGATTATGGAAGTCTTCATTTCAACCACCTTGCCTCCAAGCTCGAACTTCACGATCACGTAAAAGGCGGAGTGATGCACTTTGCCGGTCCCGAACTTGAAGGCCTCGGATTCTCGGACGAACTCTGGTTTCCCCAGGGTGTCCTTCACCAAGTCGCTGTACTGCTGTAGCCATGTGGTCCCCGCCACAGATTTAGCGCACGCCGTGTCGGTGATGCCGACGAGGATGGGGCCGTTGTGCCTGAGCGCGTAGACTTCCGAGGGCACATGATGGCACATCTCAACCTCCTTTGCCCCACGATTGGGGCACTCCGCGTCCTTGTGCCAGTGGCCCTTCTTTCCGCAGCTCATACAGTACGACCTGGCCTTCATCAGCTTGATCTTCTCCTCACGCGAAGTCCCGGCCTGGCCTCCAGTTCCCTTGTCCTTTCCCGCGCTGGGCCCGTTGCGCTCGCCGTAGTAGCCCCTGCTCTTGGCCTGCTCGCGGTACTTGTCCTTTGCGCTCTGGTACGTGGCATAAGCCACGGCCACTTCCTCCGGTATCCCTTCATCGCCGTCAAGCTGGTCGTAGAGCTCGTCGCGGTCCTCCGCATCGTCTTCATCGGCAGCTTCCTCCGTGAGGTGGGCGGTGTAGGGACGTCTACCTTTGGATTCCCATGGCTTGCGGTGTCCACGATCGTGCAATACTGCGGCCTGTTGAAGCTTCAGAAGGTTGTATTGATTTCCGACACTCGAGAGGAGGTTGAGCTCTTGGGGTTCGTCCAATTGCAGACGATCGACATAAAGCCAAGCCGCACACTCTTGTGGTAGGCAGCACCCGACTTCTCTGAGGCGTGCATGAAGTCTGTCGTACTCGCTGTTGTACTCCCGGATGCTTTGGCCATTACGTCTCCTGAGCTTTCTAAAGAAGTCACTAAACGCCCTGCCAATGCGTGCGATCTCCAAGTCCAGGAACCTTGCGTTCAGCCACGCAACGAAGTACTCGACGCCGCCGCTGGAACCTAAACGACTGACAGACAGCTCCTCGGCAGCAACCCAAGCTTTTCCCGTTAAGCTCTGGTAAAGCACGAGTCCTTGTTGGGCTTCCGGGAGGTTTGTCATCCTTCGCCACGCTTCTATCTGCCTGAGGTAGCTCCTGGTGGAGGTTCCCAGGTCTTCGCCGGAGAACGTCGGGACCGCGATCTTCTCGGAGGCCCTGCCAATCCCATTCTGAGCTCGCCCTCGGCCGGGTACGTTGGCCTGGAAGCCCCCATTGTCGAAGTAGGACCAGCCGTTCCAAGCCTGGCAAGGCTCGTCCAGGGCGCCACTCCACTGACCACGGTGTTGGTCTCCGTGATCGCTCCCCGGTAGTCCTCCAGCTCGACCATCTGCCGCGGGATGTAGGTGAGGTTCTCGCCATCCGTTGCCTTCGCGGTGCCGTCGCCATCCGTCTTGCTGGTCCGCCCCTGTGGACCAAGGATCCTTGCCGTCGCTCCAAGGGTCGTCGGGCTTCCATAGCCCACCGCGGTGCGAATCTGCCGCCGTAGAAGCTTCCCAGCTGCCACGGCGATCACTGCCGCCATGTTGGTAGCCATCATCCCAGCGACCAGTGTTCGTCCAACCATTTCCCCATGGCTGGCCGTGCTGATCGCCCCCTCGACCCTGCCAACGATCACTCCACTCTCGAGTGTTGTCAGCAGCATGGCGGTCACCATGCGAAGAACTGTGAGCGTCTGAGTCAGGTAAACTGGACTGCCTGCTCGGGCGCTGGCCAAACGCAGGCACTGGTGGCGCATCAGGCGCCGGCGGGTACGCATCGCCGACGTTGAAACCAGGAGGTGGCCCAAGGCCAGCTAGAGAACCATTGTCATGAAGTGGGACTCGCTGCTGCCCATCGGCCGACATAGCACTAGGACCTACAGGAGCCGAGGCTCCGCTACCAATGTGAAACTATGAGTACCGAGAGGGGCCGACGGGTCTCCTACACTAGGGGCTCTACTGATCCCTCCCGGTTGCGCCTCCTTGTGCACAGCTTTTCGCACATTCGGACAAAATGCCTCGCGGTGGGCAGCTGTCATGGCCTGACGGTCGGGTGCTTCGGAGGCTTCTGAGAACCAGTGTGTTCGAAAGGGAAAAGACCATACTGATTGAAAGACGACATACCTTCAAGTTTCACACT